AAACCTGTTTTTCTTTGATAACCGTTTATATAAAAAATTTCTATCCTATCGGACCAAAGGGCAAGAAATTGGGAATCGCACGACGGGGCAGAAGACAGCTAGATGGATGCTGGTAAGGAGCCTCAGAGCGACTCAGAGGACAATCTACCCTCAGCCCCACTCGGTAACTCCCCGACTGACCTGTCAAGAACCTTCGAGTTCTGCAGGAAAAAGGAGGTTTTCACCCCCGAAGAACACTATTGGGAGAGACCACACCAGTTCAAGCAGGGTACACTCAAGACGGCCACATCTACACAAACCCACCAGCCGACCACTAAACTAGTAGTGATATATGAGTCTCCGCAAAACACCTCAGGTACTTCCTCTTCTTCTCTAAACCTTAAAAAATTCATGAGACGGAATAATCGAGGACTATTTCGATGACATATCAGACAATAACATGCCTGTTAGTCAGAATGCCGTGTCAGGGCTTAACCATGAGAAAAGTGTTACATGTGACGAAACTACACTCCCAAGGCCCACATACCCGACTGGACCCGTGGTACCTCCCTAAGGCTCGGACCTACCAGAAATTTCGCTGGGAGCTGGCTCGGAAAATAATCCGATCCATTATGGCAGTACCCCAGAAGATCTTCTCCCAGTGAAACACCAACCAAGACCGCCTAGAACTCGTAAAAATATGGGCACTATTAAATTTTTCGGTGAACGAAGGTATATCGATAACGTTCTGGATCAGAAGGACACAGCCACGGAAGTAAAAACGTTAGATGACAAACCACATACTAATCCGATGGTCAACTTTATGTACAACTCCTCTGCAGATTTTCTAGCGTCACTAGTGGACTTCCCTACGAGACATACTCTAATCACCGATACCATTTATCTTGGTCTTCACAAAAGTTTAGCATATCGAGACGAGCAGGTCAGACTCCGATATAGACAACACTCTCAATTTCACTCAGCGGATGCACCTACACCCGTACTTCCGCTGGACCTCCCAATTAAGGATACCCACGATAGTAGTAAAATTTCTTCAAGAATTGAGTCAGAACTCGGAATTTGCTTGGTTGAACTTTATTCGAGTTTCAAGTGAAAACTCTCAGTATTTTATTTGCTTTGATACATTTTACCAAAATATTTTACATTTTTTCCCTTCATTTGTATATTTTTTTATGTACATGTTAGTTGTACAGACTGTAGAACAGATTTGTTTTTTTTTAAATAGGTTTCATTTGTTCAAATTCTGTAAATTCACCCAATTTTTACTCTCCAAAATTTCAGTTTTTATTTCATTATTTCTTTCTGTCCTATTACTTTTTTTTCCTACTTTGTGAATTTTGTTCCTACTTTGAAGGAGCAAATGGGCGTATATGGAATTCGTTTTAGTTAATCGTAAAATTTTATATTTTCCGGTGTGAGAAGTTGTGATTTGTTTTTGTAATTATATCAATATGATCTTCGGCGTTGATTAGATACCAGTCAACACATTGCATGATTCGACCATCGGTCAATCATTTTTAGTGTGTTCGTTTCAAAACAAACGTCTTAATTCACACTTCATTTTATATCTTTTATGCTTTTAAGTAATTGTACATTTTCTATTATTAGAAGTTACGTCATTTCAAGTTTTTTTCAAATTTTTTACCCTAAGTAAAAAAAAATTATCTGATTTAATTCATTTTATCTCAAATAACTCATGGTAAAACGAGAGATAATTTTGGCTCAGAACAGTAAGCAATGAAAATAGTAGTTCTCTTCGAGGTCTCTCAGACTCCTGATGGTGGCGCTATTAGCTGCCTGTTGCAGTCTGAGTGCTATATCCTTCTTTGTTTCTGCCTCGCTCTAATTTCAAGATCGAAAAATTGCGACTCGTCACAAAAAAATTCGGTTTTCGTATAGTATTTTTAGTCAATCTTACATTCTGAGAGCTTATTTTCAAAATCCTCATACAAGATGGATCGCGACTCGTCACCCAAATCAGACGGCTTCAGCACAACCTGACAAACAAATGGAATGACCATTAATCGCAGCAACTTTTCTCCTGTATGTTTGAGAGATCTGAAATAAATTGATTACTTCATCAACCGCAGCGGACTTTCAGAAAGATTTTTTTTTCACTCGTGCCTATTTTTCACCACCTGTAGGCTCGTTTTTCTGCTTAGTTTTTCTGACAAACTATTGTTTTCAATTTTTGTTCCAACTTTTGAAGAAAATGCGGAAGACCTATGCTCAGTGTGGTTTTTTTTGTTTCTACTTTCAAAGAAAGAGAGAAATAATTCTGCTTGGTATGGTTTCTTTATTCATTCACTTTTTGTCTTATTAAATCAGCGTTTTTGACGAAACTTTTTTTATACTATCTTAGAGATGTTGTTATCCTACGCTCAAATTTAAAAAAAATTTTCGCCTTGATAACTTTTCGTAATGTTACGGGCGTTTGAAAATTGCTAATTTGGCTAATTTTGGATAATTTAACCCGTACCCAATAGATTTTCTGTGCAAGATCTGAAAATTGTAGTTGATTCTCAGATCAGGAATTCTTAATTCATATCTGAATAAGAACTTAAACATTTCATATCTGAAAATTGGATCTGAAATAGAAAATTTCAGATCTGAAAAAACCTTGATAAACAAAACTTTAGATCTGAAATTTCGTTAAAATAGGATTTATGCATTTCGTGCACATAAATGATTTTTTAAATTTTTTTGATGTTTCTGCAATACACCATTATGTTTAGATTAGCTAGCGGTAAAAAACTTCCGATCAATCTCACCAATTGTTGTTTTTTAACTAAATTTTTAGTTCAACTGTGATAAAAAGTTTTCAAAAACAGTTAAAACACATCAAATTTTGGATTTTCATGCGCTACTTATGCGTTTCTAATGTTTACCTCATACTTGGGAAAACATAGTTTAGAAGTCTCCCATTGGAGACTTTGCTGAGTACCTGTTAGTAGCTAGCAGAAGCTGTCAGATACAAAAGTATCAAAAAAGCAAACGATCAGTCGGAATCATTGATTTTTCAGATCTGAAACAACCAAGAAAAACAAAATTCCAGGCCTGAAATTAGATCGGAAACAGATTTTGTCAGATCTGAAAAAAAAAATAAGAAAAGCAAAATTTCAGATCTGAAATTAGATCTGAAATAGCTCATCCTTAAAATATCCAAGTATCATTTAAACCTTTCACTTTCCATTTTAGATCTGAAATTTACATCTGAAAATGATTGTTTCAGATCTGAATTAGAAAATTTGCTAGGAACGGGAAATGCGATTTATTGCGCCCTTATAACACGTTTAAGAAGCAAATTAATGCGTTCCAAATTGAATTGAGGCCTGCAATTTAATCCTAGTATAATAATACGAGACCTTAAATACACTCTTAGTATTTTACATAGCGTGTGGGGCGATAAAATGAAGAAACAATGAAAAAAACGTCTTTTTCTTAACTTATTTTGACACTTTTTCAAACAAAAAAATTTTCAATTGGCCCTAAGTGCAGTCGGAACAATCAGGGCTGCCCCATGATATACGAGCAGTGTTGTTTATTCAGTCATTTTTTGACTTCTTAACTAAGCGTTTTTGACGGAATTTTTTTATACCAGCTGAAAGACATTATTATCTTGAAAGACATTTTAAATTTTTTTTACCAGTGATCATTTTTTGTAAAATTACGGGCGTTTGAAAATTGCTAATTTAATCAATTTGAAAACACACCCGACCCACCCCCTTGAAAAAATCCTAGATCCGCCCCTGACTTAGGATCGCTTAAAAAGTAAAATGTATATGCTAAGTCTGCTCTTCCTCTGAACATTGCTTTTTTATTTGTTCTGTGTGTCCAAACTTTTTCTTCAAATTTTTAATCATTAAAAGCTTGCATTTTTCATTTGCTGCGATTTTCTTTGTTCTATCGAAGGCTTCCCAAAAATAATCTGTCTTCTCAAACTTTCTAATAAATATGTCTTTTCGCAATTTTTGAAATTTAATGTCGTTTCTGTTTTTGTTGTTTACTGAAATTTATTTCGAAGTTGTGGACTACAAGGTTTTTCTTAATTTAAACGGACACACCAGGGAAGCGCAATTGTTTTTTGACTGATAGAAACCTTTCAGTTTTCAATGTCATTCCAAAATTTTAAGGTCAAGTTAATTGTCCAGAGTTGCTCTATGAAGTCTGCACAGAACGCTAAGTATACTAACCAACATCACTTAAGTTATGTTAAGAGCAGCCAGTCTCTTATACTAGCTTCATTGTTCCGTCATTCAAAGAAAGTGACAGAAAATTTATGCTTGGATTTCTGGGTTGTTTTTATTCAGTAAATTTCGACTTTTTACCAAAGGGTTAGACAGAAACTTATACACCATCTGAAAGATGGGTTGCTCTCTGGAGCTCAAAAAACTAAAAATAAAGAGGCGTACTTTTTTGTTCCAAATTGAAATGAGGCAAGCCATTTGGCCTTATTATGAAACTACTAGACCTTAAAATCATCTTGTACTTTACATAGCGTACATAGCGCGTGGGGGAGAAAACAAAAAAAATCGTTAATTTTTTAAATTGAAATCAGCTTTAACTCTCAGGGCTTTTATTGATACACGAGCGGTCCTGTTGTTTTTATAATATCATTCGGTTCTAACATGCAAACTGTTCGATTTTACGTATTGAGCAGCCGTTTTCTGATACTAGTTAGAAGTTTTATGGCATTATTCAGTTCTACTAGAACTGAATAATGTCGTAAAACTTCTAAAATAAATATATATTAATATGACAAAGCCTTAACACTTCATCACATTATATATTTATGCTCAATTGGAAACGTAATCAACTCAATTGAGCATTTGAAAACTAAACCAACTCAGTTGAGGTGATTAAGTTTTCAATTGATAATTTAATCAACTCAATTGAGTTGAATAAGTTTTCAATGGAGCATTAAATTTTAATGTGCTAAAATTTTAAAGCTTTGTCATATTTGTATTTTTTTTTCGTTCAGTTTTTTTTCGATTTACTTTCCAAAAGCCAAGTTGCTAAAACACAAAAATTTGTTCTTTATTTGAAACCCCATAGAGAAAGTTGCAGTAAACTTTGCGAGTTTATATGATTATTTCAAACTATACTATCCAAATGAAACAAATCTTCTCATATCAGGGCGAAGCCTTTTAAAAATCTACATAGCAGCAAAAACATGAAAAAATTAAATGTAATAGAAAAAAGATTTTTTTTTTAATTTTGAGATTTTTTGTGAAAATCATCCTCCCACACGCCAAAAAAGATTAAAATAATCGATTTCCCTCTTAGTAAAAAATCATTTAGGGTATATAAGCTTCTTTCAACCAATTTGAAACGATTTCTAAAACGGATTAAATCTCCGCTTGCGCATTAAGCACGAAAAATATCGCGCGGTAATTGTCCCATTAGTCAAAAAGGCAGTCTTTAAACCCTCACAAAAATGGTTACAAGTAAATATATTTCTAAATTTAAACTCAAGGCAACAACTTTTCGAATGATATAGAAAAATTGTGTCAAAAATCGCTAGTTGAAAATACTAAATTTATCCAAAATACTAAATTTATCCGAACTTATCTGTCTTACTCTTAGATGAAAAAGGTAATCTTGAGCATTGCATTGAATCATTGTCAACCATAAGTGAGCTGATTTGGGGAAAATTGTCTGCTAGGTCCAAGTTTTGACCTCATTAAAATTTCAATGAAACAACATATTAAAAAGATTAATATATTTGCTGCAAAAAATCACAGTCAAAACCTGCAAATTGATAATCAAACTGTTAGCGGCTCTTTTCCAGTTCCCCCCCTCTCAAATTCAATTTTGAAAAATCTATTTAACGTTGTCATAATGCAATGAAATTTGGCGTGGTGAACAAATCGACAATTTTGAACAGATTTGTTCAACATACTTTACAGCGTAACATCACGCGTTTAGCCGTAATAACACGTAAAACAAACATAAAACTCGGTTTTGAAAGGTGGAAACTGGAAAAGAGCCCTTTTAGCAACAGCTCTGTTCATTGTTACGAATTTCGATAAAAACAGAATATTTATGATTAGTGTGTTTTTTTGTTCATACTTCGAAAAAATTTAAAGCTTATTCAGATTTTGGAATATATAAGCGCGGGGTGGTTTTTTTTATTCAGAGCACTTTTACTAGACTCTAGTCCCTCGGGGCATCAATATTTTGCTCTACACACTATCAACCGAGTGTGCATAACCACTATAGTAATCTGGCATGAATATGTCTAAAACTGCTGCTTGTATAATTATGTCGCACTACAAAATCGTTCCAAATTGAATTGTGGCAGCTATTTGCTTTTATTATTTCAAACCATGCACGACTCAAATTGCAACCTCTTTTAAATTTTATTAGCCTAAATTTCATATTTTTCTCAATATTTAATTTACCAAAAACTGTCCGAGACTAATTAAAGTGCAGTCGGAACCTTCTGGGCTTTGCCCCTGATACAAGCACTCTTGTTTTTTTTATTCAGTCAGTTTTCGGCGATCGAAATAAGAGTTTTTAAGAAATATTTTCAAGCCCCATTGAAGATTTTGACTCGCTGAAATCAAATTTAAACAGATATTTTATTTCTGATCTTTTTTTTGAAAAGTTTTGGGGAGTTTGAAAATTGCTAATTTGGCCATGCCTTGGACTAATTTATGTGCGCTTTGTAGATTTTAGACATAAACCTGAAAGCGTAAGCGCATTATTCTTGCGTGGCGAATTATCTCGCACAACGAAATTGTTCCCAATTGAGCTGAGGGTATCTAAAGGGTCGTATTAATTTTCACTCTTGATTTTTGATTTTGTCCAAAGTTTGAAGTTTTTCGATATTTTATTTTCCCAAAAACTTTTCGATTTGGATTAGGGGGCAGTCGGATTATTCAGGGCTTTGCCTTGACATACGAGCAGAGCAGTCTTGTTATTCTAATATGCGTTATGAGTAGTCTAAAGTTTACGAAGTCAAAATTAGCTGTTGTAGAGCGATCAAATTCTTTAGATTCGCTAGGAATCGCTGACTGAAAAAAAATATAAGTTACAATATGGCAATTATAACAATTTTTATTCAAAGTTGATACATAAGTCGTTTCAAAAACATTGTTAATGAAAACTGGTAATAGTTGATCTTTTCTTTAAAATTTGATTTACAAAATGCTTGCAACTTTCTCTTTCTGACATTTTGAGTTTGCGAAAAAAATCTATCGGACAAATAACTAGAAATGGAATCAAAAAGCAACGACGGTGACGGCGTTCCTTTACTACCAACAACTCCTGGCCCTGGCGAAGAGGTTCCTTCCCAACGACGAAGAGCAATTGCAGTTGTGCTAATTGCAGTTCTAGCCTTCCTGGAAGGTGTTAGCATGTCATTACCTGGCCCATTCTTCCCACCCGAGGCCAAAAATCATGGTAACAACGATGTTTTCCGAAGCTAATTAAAAACGTACAACTTTTAATTGGTTCATTCAAATCACATGAAAGTAACACGCAACATTATCAATAAACGATTGAGATAGTAATGTTCCAATTACGAAACTGAAAGTTGCAATTAAGTTGTTTGTCTTTTCAAAAACAATTCGCAACTTATTGTATCTATGGTTCCCGACAGGGGAGGATCTAAGATTTTCTCAGGAGGGATTGGATCTGGTTTTTTTAGGTAGACCAAATTGATTTTCCGAGTTCTCCCAAATAATCCTATTTAAGCCAAATTTTCTGGGCTGCCAAATAAAACAGGCTCAAAAGACGTTTTCAGGAACTTTATGGAAATTTTGACGGAAAAACCGCACTCTTGCTCATAAGAAGTAATAACTGGCACCTTTAGAAACTTCTCAGAAGCATTCAGCCAAAAATGTAACAGTACAGAAGGGACCCTTTAGGTGGCCAGTGCGTCGAATTCCTGAGAAGGGGTGGGTAAGACTCGAGATTAATTTTTCCACGAAATTTGCTGCAGAAAGCAGATTTTTTTTCAGCTGTCACTTAGAAGAAATTTACGAAAAACCTGCTCTGCATATGGCAAAGAGGCTATCAAACGATCTGACATATATTGATGACTTGAACTGAAACCTGAAAAAACTCCCTTTGAAAGGCAGTTGAATCAGCTAGTTAATTACCCTCTGTAGATTTACATTCAAATGAAATACAATAAAAATTTAAATTTTTCAACCGTTTTTGTGGTTGCAATTTTTTTGGGTCAAAATCTTGCAAAAGCACATTTTTGCCAGTTTCTTCAAAAATTTGCCCATGTCTCACTTAATTGCTGAGCAGAAAAGGGTATTTTATGTGTTCTAGTTAATCTTGGAAATTTCAAGTTAGTCGATCTAGAAAATATCGTGCATATTTTTGCAAATTCCCCCCATTTGAGAAAAACTTAAATCTACCTGATCTTATAGCTAGAACTTCCAAATATCAGAAAATTTTCAATCTTCCTATTTTTTTAAATTGTCTGATACTGTCGCTCTGTATAGTGACACTGAAATTTCGGTAAACTAGGTTCTGATTAGTTGATAAGTTTTATTCCCATTCGGTCAGCATCATGTCAAGAAGGGTTCCCGTTTTTAAAATTAATAAATATGAATGCATATTTAGGACTCACTCAATCTGAGATTGGAGTTGTGGCCGGATCCCTTGACGTCGCAAATCTATGTTTTTCCTTCGTTATTGGGAGCCTTATCTCGCCTTCCAACAAAAAAGCTGTGTTACTCACCGGAACAATTATTTCCTCTGCAGCTCTTTCGTTGTTCGGTCTCGTGGACTATGCTCAAGGTCTCAATTTAATTTCAAGTCGCAATTTAAATTAAGTTTAAATTCAATAGAGAATAAACAGAAAATGAATTTTTCCTAAATTTTTCTGAATCGATACTTGGTTGTTGAGAATACAGCTTAGACTGTACATAAAAAAATTTTTAAAAAAATTTTGAGTTCTTTTTTTTTCCATATAATCAAAGCTTTTTCGACACAAAATATTTCTTAAGCGCCATGTAGTAATTAAATTAGCTCATATCAGCTCACATCATTTTCATGGTATGTCTCTTTGTTAACAATCGATTATAAAACAAATAAATAGAAAAATAATTCAGCGCTTTTTAATGGATCATAATGGATTATAATGCTCTACTATGAATTATAACGGAAAATTATGGTTTATAAAAGTTTTTTTCTGAGTAAGAGCCCAACTTTTTCAACATTTTGAAAACAAGTATTCAAACCTTGATAGCTTCAATCGCTTTATTATACATTTAGCTACCCGCACTGACAAAAATGGTTTCCGGTTGATTTAAATTGATTTTAGATTGATTTTAAATCAATCCAATTCGATTAACCATGAACATTTTACGAATTTAAATCCATTTTAAATCGATTTAAATCGATCTTTTTGAAAACTTTAAATCAAAGTGTTTAAATCGATTTCGATGGATTTTCCGACACACTAAAATCAATTTTTTTAAATTTTTTTGCTAACAAGGCAAAAAAAAACATGCTATTTAGAAAACTAATTGTAATATTTTATCTTGATTTTTTAAATAAAAACACACCTGCCAGATGTTTTAGAATTCAAGAAATAAAGAAAAATGTTAGTATGAACCAGACTTTGAGCTCAAAAATATGCAATGTACCGAGAAAATTGTTTATTTCTGACATGGGGGGTTGGGGTGATAATATATGGTGGGGGCATGGGGGAACGGTTGATTTTGTTTTTTCAAGCAATTTAGTCCATTATGGTATCTGTAACGACACGTAACAAAAGTTTTCATTTTTTCTGTTATTCGAAAATTTGAAATTAAAAAAATAAGTGAAAAAAGTCGATATAAATCGATTTAAAATCGACTTGGATTGATTTCAGTTTAGGTCAGATTTAAGATCCATTCGAATCGATTTAAAGTCGACTGGAATCAATTTTTTTAGCGTTGAAAATAAATCGATTTAAAATCGATCCGTATCGATCTGAATTTTTCTTTTTGATTAACTTACTTTTTTACAACTTAAATCATTTTCAATTTAATCTGCATACTTTTTTCATACTAAAATCGATCTAAATCCGTTTTGTCAGTGCAGGTACCGCAAAAAAAAACATTTTTTTTCTTTTTGTCTCGTTTTTTCGACCTGTCTCCCTTTTTCCTAACAACAAAAATAACTCTTCTCGATTTGACTTCTCTCTTTCACCACAACCTCCCCGCCGCCATTACTTATCCTTTACAAACAGATCCGTAAAAAATGCGTAACAATTACCGTAAACGTGTGCATCTTACCACACACACACAGGGGGTGTCAAGTAGTTGTGGGGGGAGGGCAGGTGTGAGTGGGGGTAGGTGTGGGGGTACGATGGTTGGGGGTTGGTGCGGCTGGTAAGGGTGGTGGTGGGTAAAAGGGCGAGGAGGGATTGGTTGAAGGTGAGTGTAGGTGTGTGGACAAATATGTAAATGTGTGTGTTGGGGGTTGTGAGTTTGGGCATATTCAACTTGGGCGTCAAAGTTGAGAATTTCTGTGTTTAAAATGAGAAGAATATGATCTCGCAAAATTTAATTACACGCGAGTAGATTTAGAGATCGAGTAGGCTGTGAGTGATGCAGAAAAACTGCAAATTTTTTAAGGATTTTGAAAAAGATTTGAATTCAATATTTTCAATTTGTAATTATAATCAATTATCTTGGCAACATTTTTGACCATGAAAATCGATCATAATCGATTACAATCAAAAAAACCTCAATGCGGGTTGAACTTTCTGATCAGATTTTGAATATACTGCTCTTACCCTTGTTCGCTTTTGATTTTTTGACATTTGAACTTCTGAAAAACAAACTTACATTAGGTTGGGATCGGATATGCTAGGCTTTATTCTAATTGAGCTTATCTAAACTGCGATGTAACACTTTGAAGACTTCACCTATGATGTTGAAAGTCTAACACGAACTTTATTCCCGCACGCAAGTTTTTCCGAACTGGAGTCAAGCTGATTGATAATATTCTTTCCTAACACGACTCAAATTTTATTACAACTTATTTGATACTGACAATTCAAAACTTACATTTTGTCAAAAATTCCTAGCTAAAACTTTCTCGATAAGTTAAAGGGCAGTCAAAACATTCATGGTTCTGCCCTGATATTTGAGCACTCATCGTTTTTTAAGCCAGCCTGCATAAACAGTTATTTTTGTACAGATGGCGCTCACTATTGCTTTTGTGTATTTAGTTTTGGTTTTGGTTTTCTAAATAACTTCAACCCTGTTCGTTGCGGTAAATATAAAGCTTCTGGTAAAAATTCCAACTTTTTCTAGCTTAAGGTACTTTTTTGAAATATTTTTGAAATATGGGAGAGAGAAACAATTTTTTGGTTGCAGAAATAAAAGGTTTTCTAAACTCGTTTGATCATAATTTGATCTGAACTGGATTTGGAAAAAAACTAGTTATGAAATCAGCAAGGGAAATGGAAGAATCCGAATTTTATTTAAAGCATTAGGAAACTTTTTTGTGCTTAGAAAATATTCAGGAAATGGACAGAAAGAGCAAAGAAATTAGAACTTCCAGTTCATTCTAAATAGAATTTTCAATGGATTTATCAATGAAAAAATCTAAAAAACTTTAAACTTGAAAATCGATTTTTTCTCTGGCTCATCTTGAAATATAAAATAGAAGAAATACTGGAATTGAAAAATGTTTGTGAGTCTGAAGTTAAATTGAACTTGTTCCAGACGAAAGAATTTATTTCGTTCTTTGCATTTTGACTCGGATTCTTAACGGAATTGGTGTTTCGATGGTGTTTACAATGATGATTCTCATTTCGAGTACATGCTTCCCTCAAAAAGTAGCCCTTATGAACTCTTTCATTCATACTGTATTCGGAGTGGGAATGTTTTTGGGGCCGGTTTTCGGAAGTATATTAATACCAGTTGGGGGTTACGTAACACCTTTTGTATCTATAGGTTTGATAGAGACAGTGTTTTCTTTCCTGGGGATGATTATAATCCCTGTATTTCCAGCAAGCAAAAAAACGGCGAACGACTTCAAAACTAAAGAGTATTTGATGTTTCTAGTTAGTTTTCCAGCGCTCAGCGTGTTTGTACCAACTATTGTTGTTACATTAATGTCTGGATTTCGGGACTCGGCTTATGCGCTGCATTACCACGAAGTGACTGGACTCGCCTATCAGAAAATTGGCCTTTTATTTGTGGTAAACGCATTAGCAGCAACTATTACACTATCTGTAGTCGGAGTTTTAACTCAAAAAGGATTCGGGCCAAGTATAATGATAATAGCCCAATGTTTGACCCCCTTGACAACATTCGCAATGTTTCTACCATACATATTGCCCGAAATAGAAACAAAAGGCTGGGCAATTTTGACTCTTGCAACGAATGGAGTTTCAGTTGACGCGGCGATTAACCCTTCATATCTGCTACTTCAAAAAGCAGCTATCAAAAACGGAGTGCAGAATATTGACCAAGTTAGAAAGTATTCATCGTCTTGTTTCATGATTATTTTATCCATGGGACGGATTTTGGGTGCTGCGCTTATTGGGGGATACTTGAACGAGTTAGTTGGGTTTTATTTCACGTCGCTGATTTACACTTCGGTTGCCATGGTAACAGTCACGTGGCATATTGTGTTTCTAGTGAGATCAGGACTTATTGGCAAAGTGTATTTTGATACAGATGTAGATAATGACGAACCTGCAAGTGATAATTTAGATGCATTAAATTGAACAAAACTATTTTAATGTCTTTTTTGTAGATATTTCGAATCTAATCATTTAGAAATTTTCCAACTTTTTCTTTATTGAAAAGTTTTTTTCTTTGATCGTGTTTTGTCTAGTGTAGTCTTTTTGACTAATGGATTTAGGCTTAGGTTGAGTTGTGATTGGCGTTTGGGGAGTAAAAGATTTTAAAAAAACAGTCGAAACTCTACCCACAGTCCTAGTTGCCAAAAATTTAACAACGCATGGGCGAAAGGGTCCTAGGGTTTTTTCTCGAGTAGGGCCGGGTGCGGATTTTAAACAAAGCTTAAAAACTTTGTCAACTTCATATCAGTGGACCTCAAAACTTTGTCAATTAGTTATCCGAGCTCCCCTGAAACACCAAACAGGCTCATTTTAGAAACAGTACTTGAGCAATAGGCCAACGTTTCAAAATTAAACCAATTAAAACAGAAAAATTTGGAAATATTTGTGTCATTTGAGTTCCTTCAAGAAACTCAAATATGGCGACACAAATATTTCCAAAAAATGGCTGGAAAGTATTAAGGCGCCCGAAAGAAAATTTTTTTTTGTGGACCAAAATTTGATCTAGAATACAATACAGCAGTTCCTGAAGTAAGCCGACCCTTCTCCTAAGCTTGCTTCTGCTGCAAATGTCAAATAGTCTTTAAACTTTTTTGATACAATAAACTTATTCTGGAAAGATGAAGCTGAAAGGCTGTATAGAGTCAGTCATTGTTCAGCGTTGCAAAAATTTTTAAATGCCGGAACAAAAATTAAAATTATAAAAACATCCTAATTGTCCGATGACTTCTAATCCGTATCAAAACAAAACAAATTTTGAACAAACTTCTTTATTTTGCAAAATATATGTCTTCCATTTGAGGTTAACGTCAATAAAATCAAACTCAACTATATTCTTACTTTTGGATCAAACTTGAGTTTAAAATGTGTTGTACCTCATGATTGTCACCCGTATTCAATGGGTTTTCTCAGCGAGATGCGAGTTTGTTGTCAAATCTAAATTTCGTTATTTCAGATTTTTCAAAAGAATTTTAAAATTTCAGTTCTAAAATTTGTTTTTGTTAAAAATCCAAAATTTCAAAATTTCGAATTGGCTTTGAAAAGTTTTCTTGGGTGTCCTGTTGAGCATGAAATTCATAAAATAGATCAAAATTTTGTAGAAACAGCTGAATTTTACCCTAAAAAATAGATTGGTCTACGATTGAGTCCCGAGCATGACGGCATTGCTGAACTTTATCCCTCAAACCCAATCCATTGGCCGGGCTCCAGCACACGGGCGGGTTTACGTGGTAGGCATTGGGAGGGCTCCAAAAAATTTTTTTCTAAAGGCTCCAATATATACTAATTTTGAAGAGAAGCGCACGCCAAAAAACACAATTTTTGGTCAAAGTTTTCCCGGCAACTTTTGTGTCTGCGGCGCTAAATTTTTCGTCAAAAACAGTCTTTATATTGTTCTCGGAGTGCTCGGGGAATCAACCTCAAAAACTGAAGCCTACACAAAAAGAAAGTTCCTCCCCATGTTCAAGGTACAGGTCAGAGTGGGTGCTGCAGCGCAAATATAAACGCAAATGTGCGAGAGTATAAATGCATATAAAATTGAACCAAAATGTAAATGCATATAGGGATAGTAGCCAAGCGTATACAGGGTGCGTCCCGGCGGGTTCGGCGCCTTCGAATCCCGAAAGGTCATTTCCTTTCTAGCACTCAAATTTGCCCCGAACTTGATGGGATGCTCCGTAACCAGGTTCGATCCCCCCCAAAACCTATTTTAACCGTCTTTTCGCTCTAATTTGGTTCAGCCTTGATTAAGGCTGACCTTTTAAAAGAGCAATTTGTCTCAAGGACAAATACTGGCCATTTTTTGCAGCTTGCTTTGAGTTATGCAGTTTTTTGTGTCCGATCTTACCGATGATGAAATACGTTTTGAAAACTGTAAAAATATGGATTTCCAGTGTTAGTTTTGCCGAGAAAACACTCTGTAATTCAACTGTTTGAAAGTCAATATTTTTACGATTCGGTTTGTGGAGATTTGTGGAGGTTTGTGGAAATTACGCGCACAGTGGGAAAAGTAAGGAGGAGGAGATAGGAGAGACAATAGACTCTCAAACTCTCAGTGGAAAAATCTCGGTCCAAAAAAAACAACTCCTCGAAATAGTAATCGACAACTGGATAAAACATTTCATTTTAAAACCTTGTAGAAAATATCAGATTAAAATTTATTGAATTGTTTTTCATGTGTATGTTTTTATCTCTTTGAACCAAATTGCTCGTGGTGAATAGTTCATCGAATTCAGCCAGTTAATTAGGTGATACCAGAAACAGTCAAGAAAAACAATACTTCAGATTTGAAATGACTAAAAAAATTCAGATCTAAAATTTGATCTAAAATAGATATTTTTCAGATCTGAAATTTCCCAGAAAAATTTTTTTCAAAACCTGAAATTAGGTCTTAAAAAACCCAGTTTTAAAGTATCCAAGCGTTATTATAAAATTTGACATATAAATTTCAGATCTGAATCAGAACATTCTCTGGGTACGTGCATGTTTGTGTACTTCCACAATTTCTTAGATGAGGTCTGCGACAAGATGAGCGATAACCGAAATGACGAGAAAACCCAAGTTGAAGTCCAACTGTTATTTGTCGTTTTTTTTTCTGCAGTATCCCAGTGATCGGTATTTCTCAGCTTATTCATGTATAATTCAGAGTTTTTTTGCATACATGAATCTGCGAATATTTCAAAGCTGTTTCATTAATGATTCATTAGAAAATCAGCGCTGAAATTTCAGAAATTTTAACTCATTCTGGTAGCTTTCAAAGGAGAGTTTGAGTTATTAAGTCCTTTATCTTGAGTTTATTTAAGGCTGGGTGGCGCAAAGGTAGCATTGTTTTCAGGTTTTGCAATTGCTTATCTGTTGACGCGCTGACTCACGTAATTCATTGTGTTTCTTTCAATTGCCTATTGCAAATGGTGTCAACCAATCGATTATTGTAATGATTGTATTGAAAAAAAATTTTCCCATCAATTGTTTTTTTTCACTATTGTCTTTCTCTAAATCGAGATGCTTTATGTAATTATAAACTTTACAAATAACCAACTGATTGATTTCGTTTGACTTACGAAAATCAATGTTAACAAAGATGAAGGTAGAGAATTGCAAAATCAAAAATTTTGAGTTCAAACTGCGTTGCTATATGTAACTAAAATTATTAATTGTTCCGACCATTTGAAAATCGTGGAGAATTTTGTATTATGGTATTTCAACTTTTTCTTCTTTTCAACGCAAATTCAATTACCACAAATAATTTTTGGAATTAGTTGAATGATATATAATATTTAAGCCTTTTCAGTCTGATTTGAACGACAATTCTGGAAGTTTTGAAATATCGAGAAAAACTAGTTTTAAATAGTTGAATTTTGGTCTAATTTAGAGCTAATAAGTTCAACGTTCATGTTTACAATAGCTTATTCAAGCTGTGAAAACTCAATTTCACTTGAGCCGTGAAAAATTAGTTTTTGGATTTTTTAGTGCCAATTTGTAAATCAATATTTTCGCTAATTTTTTGATTTTTTTTTAAAATTTTTTTTGTAGTTTTTCTAGCCATTTTTCCATAAAAACTGTTTGACCTATTTTACTATCGCATAATGTCGCGAATATGCCTCAGTTCTGTTTTTGTTCTAATCATTTACTGACACCAGTAAAATTTACGAGACTAATTTGAAAAAAAAAACTTTTCTTAAGACTATGGTAGGAACGTTCTATGCTATTTGCACAGTAAATGGCTATTTTTTTTTCATTCAACTTGGGACAACCAAAAATAACAAAATTTGCAGACAATTTACAATTATCTGTTTTATTGCATCACTTGACTCTTTATAGATTTTTAGCAATTTTTCTCTGATTTTCATCGCTATCACAATTAAGTGCTCTACGATAGGTCCAATGAGTAGGTCAAACTCGACGATAGTTCCCGTATCAGCAAAATTTGTTTTTGTTTGAATAGCTAGGTTAATTAAGTAAAAGTCTGATAAAGTTTTCTGATTTCATTGTATTTATATTTGAAAATCACTGATTTATATCTCAATTGTATCTTCATATGATCAGATAAAAAAAATGAAATTTGAAGAAAACAAGTCAAAATTTATTACACATTTTCTTGACAAATATAGAAACACAAACCAAACTCGAGTAATCAAACTGAAAATAAAAAACCTAATTTTTTTGTCTGAAAACTAGTCGAAATGAGATGATTCGCGAGATATGTACGTCAAATCAAAAACGAGAAAAGCACTTCAGCAAAAGGAAAACAGAAGAAACGCAGGCGCTTCGAACGATTTTGATTGTACTGCAACCAATGCGAAAATTTCCGGACTTTGCATAGCATAATCATCATTGCTTCAGCAATTTTTGAGGATCTTTTTGGAGCTCAGAACTGTGACATACACCAAAGCAGGGGTGGATTTAGGATTTTTCAATTTTTATATTGACAAAAAAATTGATTTCCTTAGCTCTCCCACATCACTAAAAAGACCCAATTTTGATCCAAATTTTAAAATTCAGGCCAAAAAATGAAATTTCAGGAAAATGTTGACCAAAAATCACGTTGTTCCGGCGGGCGCATCTCCCTCAAAATTTGTTTGTATTGGCGCTAAAAGCGCCTTTAGAAAAGTAGTAGCTTCTGTCCGCCAAATAAGGATATCTCAAAATAGTACAAAAGGGGACCCTCTGGATCGGCAGGGGTCGAATTCCTGAAGGGGGAGGGGGCACACACTCCCCATTCCCCTATATGCGCTACTGCTGCAAACATAGACAACTCTTAGCAATCTATGCTTACACATTTAAACATCATTGATGTTCGCAGCACTGGATTGCTGATATAAAAGTACTTTTTAAATCAATGATTTAGCTTAACATCTGAAAAAAATCTTGCCTAAAATTTGATGTCTTTTCTATAAATATTCCTTGGCAAAGATATACGATTTGAG